TTGTGGTCTAGAGGTTCCGGTGTTTGCCTCTCATTCAATAGGTCCCGGGTTCGAAGCCTGACAGCGACAGAAAATGTTCTTCTCTGAAATGTTCTCATTTCACGTACCTCCTTTCACCTCCTTTCCTGCTCTAATAATCATTTTCTGTCGTCTGCTTTCCCCTCCAGTTTCTGCGCCCCCCCCCCCCCCCCCCCCCCCCCCTCTGGGCTCCTGACTCTTTCACTTTCAGCAGCCTTTCTACTGCTACTCCTTTGCTGATTTTTGCTACTTTCTTTCAACCACACACGCTGATCTTAGGGTAGGTAACATCTTACACCTAGCCTCAATGAGATTAAAAGTAAATTCTAAGCTCCTTGCCTAGCCTTCACAGATTTGGGCGAAAAATCTCGGAGGTCTGCTGTGCAAGTTGTGCACGTTATTAAAGATTCATTGGTTGTCCAAAATCGAGAGTAGGCTTCGGCTGCCACCCGGGCAAGTTTCAAAATTAATTCCTATCAAACTGAAAATGTTTTAGTTTTAATTTGTCGCGTGCGCTCGTATATATGACCTTATGCAGTTGTGAGCGCCGTAAAACACTTTCCAAAACAAAACCACTCTGTCACATTTAGCCCAATCCATCTTGCCTTGATGCTGTCGGTCCGCATTGTGGGTTGTTCACCCTTAGCCCTTGTGCCCCCACATCTTGCCATCGAGTGAGTATCCTCCTTCATAACGGTCTGGTGACGTTTCATAATGTCCAAAGTACATGTACACGTACCGGTAGTCTACATACTACATTGATACAACAACTGATAACAACAAATAACAACTGGTAACAACAAAATAGCGACACATTTCAACACTAACGTGCTTACACAAGGTGATCAATCCCCAAAAGAAGATATTTTCATTGTCACAAAACTGTATGACAGGACAACAGGTGATGACATGATACATACAACAGGACGTACCCCGCGGTACTGAAACTACAGTAAGTGTCACCACAGCTAGGCTATTCAATCATAATGGAATGTATAATTTTAATCAATTGATCAATTTAATTTTAATGTCTCAAAATGTCATGTCATGTATGTTGGTGAGAAAAAATGATATGAAGAGACAGGATTACGTTGTTTTTTTTTCCGATGAATTGTTACTTTCGATTTGACTTTCGATTTGAATGTAAACAACAAATAAAAAGGACGCAACTCCGGTCATTGATAGAGAATATTGTGCTTCTGGTAGTTGCTCGGAGTTGTGCACGTAACGTAAAGTAGGGGCTGGTTGACTACACGAATACTGATTTTTTAGGCTGGAACTCAAAGTATTTTTGTGTTATCAGTTGTTATTTGTTGTTATCAATTGTCATTTGTTGTTGTCAGTTGTTATTTGTTGTTATCTCGACAAAGATAAATACCCCTGAAGACAAGGTTGCCTACTGTCCTCAATCATATTCAATCTATTTCTTGAAAGAAAGCCCTAAATTACCATTATTGTGTCGATGTGCCTCTCTTTACCCAAACAAACTAGAGCTAACAAACAAATTGAAAGAATTAAGAGAGACACCTCCCTTGAACACTAGAACACTGTGTCAGTAAAACCTCCGATTTGCGGATGATAGGCAGACCCCCATAGCGGGCTCCAACGATGAACTGCCAAACCTTTCAACCAAATTGAACGGCAGTGTTTGATCATGTGCAATGGAAGTGAGAACACATCAAAAGTCAAACGTTATGGTAACCACCACCAAAGGAAGCTAAGCTAAAATAACTATGAGCAATGGGGAACTGGAAGGTGTCAAACATTTAAGTTTATTTATATCTTGGCTCGGTGTGGGTGGTTGGAGGGCGCCACTGGAAGGTCCTACTTCTTTACTTTTCTTCTGTTGTTTCTGTCTGTCGTGTCTTCTTACTTTTCCCTTGCACTAAATGAAATGATCATAAGTGTGTCGATGCGCTTCTCTTTACTCAAACAAACTGACTCGTTGACAACAAAAGACGGCGGAACATCGTCTCAGGTGAGAATAACAATAAAGAATAAAGTAGCAGCCGCCATGATCAACTTTGCAAAATCCGGGACATCACTAAAAATAATATCTGCGTCCCAATAATATAATTCAAACTGCACACATTTCCTTGTCCCCTCCGTCTTGCTATATTATGGCTGTGAATCCTAGACACAACTGGCCGAAACGGAGAGACATATCACGCTCTTAGTGTTAAAATTTCTTTAAAAAATGGGATAATATATGTGCGGACCACATGCTCAGATGCAAGAAAAGACTAAGGAACCCAACAGCCTATCAAGGAATGTTGGCCTACGTATAGGGCCTACATCCGGGTAAGTCGAAAGTAGTAAAGCTAGGGAAAGTTTCAAGCCCTGCGGTGACAGTGGAAGACACTCCCCTGGAAGAAGTAGACTCCTTTACTTACCTTGGAAGTGTCTTCGATGGTAAAGGTGGAACTGAGGCAGATGTAAAAGCAAGAACCTCCAAGACAAGGTCAGCATTCAACTAAATATCAAATGTCTGGAAAGCAAACATCTCACTGTGTACCAAGATTCGACTCTTCAATTCCAACGTCAAGTCTGTGCTCCTGTAAGGCATCGAAACTTGGAAGACAACAACGACAGTGCCGAATAAAGTGCAGACTTTCATCAACAGATGAACGAGGAGTATCCTAAGAATTAAGTGGCTGGATAGAATAAGAAATAAAGAGCTGGGGGAAAGGACAGGAGAGAAGGAAGACGTAGAAATCGGACCAAGAAAGTGGTGATGGATGGGACACACCTTCAGAAAGCACAGCGAAAACGTCATAAGACAGTCGCTGCAGTGGAACCCACAGGGAGCCCAAGGCAGGATTAGGCCACGGGAACATGGAGGAGATGTGTAGAAAGGGACATGAGAGAGATGAAGCTCACTTGGAACGAGAAAGGAAGGATGGCCCAGGATAGAGATAAATGGAAGGAGTTTGTATGTGGCCTCAGGGGTGAAAGTGAAAGGCATTGATGATGATGAAATGTGCGGACAACAATAATTGAAAATACACTTTTATAGTTTCTGGACCTCGAGAACTACTGCCAGAGCTACGATAAAAAAAGTAAACTCGCGTGGTTTGGTCATACAGCCCGGCACGACAGCCTCATCGCAACAACCATCACGCATGGAACTGTTGAAGGTAGCTGAGAAAGGAGGAAGACTAAGAAAAAGCTGACATCAAAGAATGGTCTGGTTTGTGGGTAAGAGGACAACAGACAGAGGGAGTTGGAGAAAAAGCTCTTCAACTTATACACTCTACCCCCTCCCCCATGCCACACACACACACACACACACACACACACACACACACACACACACACACACACACACACACACACACACACACACACACCCACGGAAGTCAGTTTCGAGTAAAAAGGCACACTATTCATACTATTTTATTTCCTGAGGTTATATTTAAAGCAGTTGCTTCCCATAGAAAGTAAAAGACGAATTATGGAAAGGGGAGTTTGACCGATATTTTGGTGACAATTTTTAAATGAATGTGTCTTAACCATAGCGAGCTATGATCTCATACCCTTTTGTAATAAAGGGTATGTAGTTATATTTTGAAATTATAGAATGCAAAAAAGAATAATCAAAGCCTCCAAAAAATAATATTTTTCTCTCTAATGTTTTGTCCCCCCCCCCTCCTTTTTTTTGCAAGGAAAGTAACAGTTGCTTTCTACCCGCAAATGCAATTTTAACTTCAACATTTCTATTTTGGAGTCATTATTTAAAAAAAAGATCAGATTACTGAGTCAGAACTATTCAGGCAAGTTTTGATTATTTTTAAAAAAAGTTCTTTTATAAACAGTGTGTTCAAGCTGCTCGGAGAAAACGGAACATATACGTTTGGTTTTACGTGGGCATACGATATAGTGAGATAACTTAAGACGACAGATATCTGGGTTGTCTAGAATTAAATATTTCTATTTGCTCAGTACCTTGTGTTGAGAAATGTGACGTAACATTTTTTTGAGTTTCACAACGTGGTGTGGCTTTTTCGAACAGAACTCTTTGAATATCTTGATAATGACTAAGAATATAGATCTACTTACGATTTTGATACACCAGATAGAACATAATCTATTGTCTGACCTCAAGGTTTTAGTCACTCAAAACGGCCAAAATGTCAGATAGAACTTTGTAATTCTAAGGTAGCGATATGACAGATTGTCAGCAGACCGAAGGGCATGCTGAGGCACATTTCGAACCATCATACACAAACTAGAGACAAGCATTTGCATAGTTCACGAAATGCATGTTGTTTTCTGCCTTTTAAACTTTGAGGCGTAGAAAACAGAACTGAAACAAAAATAAAATATGTATGAGTTACAAAGTTTTCGTCGGTATGCTGTTAAAATGTATTAGGCTCAGAAAGCTAAGTTTGAAAGGAGAGAGAGATAGAGAGAGAGAGAGAGAGAGAGAGAGAGAGAGAGAGAGAGAGAGAGAGAGAGAGAGAGAGAGAGAGAGAGAGAGTGTTTCATTCTATTAAAAAAAGGGGGCTACGATATGTATTTTTTCTGTCTTTATTTCAAATTTCAGCGTTTAGAATTCTTATGTCGACAAAATTGTAATGTTTCTTAAGTGCAACCGACCGTACCACAGATTAAAAAACTGTGCATTTTTAAAAAGATGTTAACCCCCCCCCCCAAACCCACGG